AGATTAATAGAGATCTAAATGGCGCCCGGGGAATTTTTCTCCGGGCATTGCTTGATGGAGCCTTAGTTATGTAACATTAGCTACGCCAATTGATTGATTATAGTTGACTATTTTTGATCGATTCAATCCATCCGAGTTCTTCGTGCAATAAAAACAGTAAAAATAAAAGCCATGGCTGGTGACCAGCTAGCTTTGTTACAGGATTAAAGATTATCGGTAAATGTGTGATTAGATTGATTGAATTAGAAAAAGTGTAGGATTATAAACAAGGTAAAAAATAATGACGAGTAAGAAAGAGACGTGCGTTTATATGATGAGATGATTATTAATTACCTTCTCTCGATATTCAATTGCAAACGCATTGTGGTATTTGTCCTTTAAAGACATATCATGAGAGTATTCTGGATGCGATTCATAAAATGTCCGTTATGATTGAGCGGACAAAACTAGACAATCCCGAAAAACTCGAGTCAGTAAAAACGAAATGATATATAGTAATAGTATAAAGATATTAATATTTATAGCTAAGATAAATATGCAAGCTATTAACCATTAAATAGTTAATCAATATTTGAGAGCAGTTTACTGAAATCTTTAACTCTGTTCGTTGACAGTAATGACAAATTTTCTTATCCGACAGTTATACATACTTTACCTAATATGTACTCCGAATGAGCGACGTACACCCGACTCAAGACATATGAAAATAACAAAAGAGACAGATACCCAGTTTACGCATTGCTATATTTATAATATTGCATAAGAGATAAGTAAAGAAAAGAAGTAACACTTATTATTAACATTATTATTGCCAGTTGTCAAGCAAGTAGTAGGGAAGAGATATTCTTACTTTGTTTTCACCTTGTCGCCGTATATCGTATACGCAGTGAAAGTCAATATCGATATAGCAAACTCAGAAAATATTCGATATAGCGGTTTTTATTTATTACTTGTATCAAAATTCAGTACGTTTTTTAGGACTATTTCTTGTTCAAATTGTATATACAAGAAGGACAATGCTCCGTTCATCGAAAAAACTCGTACTAAGCGAAATCCGTTTTATCCATGAACCGTTATATTAATATCAACTTTCACTGCGTAGTATTCTGCTGAATTAAAAAATCTGTCGTAAAAGTTTGCATTGGTTTTTATTGTACATTTAATGTCATCAATATTTTAATTTCTTGTTTCTATACATCATGAATCACGTGGTATGAATTATGATTGCTCAACTAGCAGCACAACTCTATCTCTAACATAGTATTCTAACCCATTCCAAATCTAAAATAAACCAAGGATATCGTCATTACTCATTCCATTCCCTCGTGTCCCATTCTGTCCTTGTGTCGTACCAGCGCCATTACTACTACTATCCATAGATGTCCCACTAAACAAATCCAATAAATCGTCAATAGGTCCAGCTGAAGTTGCTGCTGTACTAGATACACTAGGTGGCGCAGTAGAAGCTGGAATGGCGGAAGATGATGTGGGCGTGGCCGGACTGGAAAAATCAATATCCAAAAGATTTTCAACGTTGGTTTTCGTTTGTATCTGTAATGGGGTTTCTCTTATCGATTCTTCTTGTTCCCTATATAAGAAAAGGTGTAGGTTGTTAGAGCTTTCGTCTTAACGTTAGAAACTAGCGATGCTTCTCCCAAAAGTCACTTACTCTATGGCTTTTCGCTGGATGGCATCGGCACCAAACCTTCCTCGTCCAAGGAATGTCTCAGGAGGTTTATGGTATACGCTTGCTAGCGAACCAACATCATTGAGTAGCTGTTCCAAAAGCTGCTCTGACAATGTACTGTTTGATATCGATATTACTGGTTTATCAGACAAGACTACCGCCTGCGGAAAAAGATTGATAAGGTTAATGCCAAGTCAGTGTACAAGCATGTATTTTCCAACAAAAATCCCTAACCAGTCATCCCTAATATCACAACATGCTCGCATACCTTGGCAGCTTGTGGATCGGTCGATAACAACCTCCAATAAATATACGCCCTGTCTCTCAAATCTGGATTATCGCACTCTTGCGCTGCAACTTTCAAAACTCTATATACGATTCCTTCGTTCTCCTTCGTCGGCTTTTTCAAAAACAGTTTTACACATGATGCCACTAGTTGCAACTGTACTTGCAAGTTCTCCTCCCGGAATGTATCGAGGAAGCTTAAGATAAGTTCCGATGCATTAGAAATGCTTTCGGCATATTCACCAATAATCCAGATTAGGGATGCTTTCGCTTCAGGTTCGTCGAGTACTTCGAGGTTTTTACAAAGTGTTGGTAGAATCGTGGTATATTTGTGTGGGTATTTACGGAATATGTCCTGTGAAGAAAAAAAGCGTACAAGATGAATTATCAGCCGAGCATTATGTGAGAATGCGACACTAATAATACTTCCGGGAGATTGTCCACACCATATTTACCTTTATCACAATGATAGCCTCTTGGACAACATAATTGACTTTTGTATTAATGAGATCAAGCAATACGTTGATGCACCTTTCCGATGTCTCGTCGATTTTAACAGCACACTGTCCAATAGCACGAACAGACTTTCTCACAAAATCAACGTCTACTTCCGATGCATATCTACGATGAACATTAAAGGACGGTATCCAATGGTACGCAACTGTGAATCCACTGTCGTTCCCATTCTTTTCGCACTATTCTATTGCTCGAACCAATTCACCAAATTTTCTCTTCACTTACTCTTTCAATTCTGATAACAACTGATCCACGTTCTTGTTGTTTGCAAGCTTTATCAAAATATCTAGCTTCTCCAATTTCACGTACGGTGGATCGTTGTATTTACAGAAAAATACTCGCATCTCGTTTTGTAGGATATCTTTGCGTTTCTGTAAAATCAAATTAATATTGCGTAATGCTACATATTGGACTTCAGGTGCTGAGGAAAGAAGTGTTACAAGGGGTGGGGCCATGCGTTTGACCAGAGATTTTTCAAGTTCTTCATTTTTAATGTAGCGCATTAAAATCACTACAACCTTCATTTTTAAGGAGGGGAAAAACAGAAAGAGTGTATTCATCAAAGTATGAGAAGGCGAGAAGCAAGGATAAAGACAGCACCAACAATTTCTCTTTCTGTTCTGTCTCCTTTCTCCATAACCAATACAGAACGTACCTTAATAGCAGCCAAGACTACGCTTCCGTTAGCATGCTGAAATTGTGGACTAACCCTCTCGATAATATGCTCAGCTTCCTTTGCATCAATTGGTTTATACTCTGCTAACGCCTCGAGTATTGCTATGCGTCCCCATCTACAGAAAAGAACCTGTGTTAATTTCAATAAATATGATGAAAGATAACATGTGACTTTAAAGAAAATCGACATTTAAAACACAATAAGCGAATTGGGGATGTTTACTCTGTACACTCGTTCAACGCAATAAGGAGTTTGCTAAGTGTTGAGCCATTAATTACAAAAACTTTATTGTCAGGAGAGACTTCGTCGATTTCCGCTAGTGCCGTTACTGCATTGGCAACAACCTTGTGAAATAAAGAAGTAAATTTAGTTACGAGTCAAAAGTGCGAGTACAGATGTAATCATCTTCTAGTAATTTGACCAGATGGCCTTGTTACATTATTTACCATTGAATTTGAGTCGGACATCATTTCTTGTAGCAAGGCAACAAATCCATTCTCGACAGCTAGCTCAGGATTAAGGTCATACAACTTTGCTACACATATGGCGGCTGTTTTTCTCACATAGGGATTCTCATCCTAGAAGAGGAAAATGGAAAGAGATGAGGGGAGGGGGAAAAAAACCCAGGGTATAGTTGATGACACACAATTGAGCAATCCAGCATAGTATAGCATACGATTATCTTGTGTTGTATGGCTTATACTACACTGATCCTCTCTGTCAGTATTAATATATTCTTCTCACCCTCATACACTTTCTCAATGGCTCACAAAGGTAATCAACAACTTGTTCCACACGAAGACAGCCCATAGTGCGAATAGCCAATGCACGGATCAATGGATTACTGTCATCGGTATCCTATGAAATATAAAACATGATTAGAATTTAGTATGTTGATTGGTGAAATATATAAAAAGTTGAATCATATTACTTGTCTCGCTCTCCTTTTTTTTTCTCTCCGCCTCACATCCAAACTCACTCTTCCCTATTACTGCACGTCGTCTCCTTGCATTACACCCCATTCTTCTCCAACCCTCCAATCTCTTTGCATACCTTGACAAACGTATTGACGGCCAAAATCACCAAATTCGGTTGCGACTTTGCATAATTCATTAAATATAAGTAGACCAATTTTTTCTGTTCGAGATCTTCTGTCTGCATATTTTTTAAAACATCAGAGAACAGTCCCGAGACGTCTTTTCCGACCGTCATGTTGGCGATGACTTTCTTTATGGCATCTTTTCGTTTGTCGCGATACTCACTGTTGAGATCGGCTTGAAGCTCGTAGTTCTCGCCTGAATAGGGACGCATAGGCAAGAGAGACCAGGGGCAAATAAAAGGGTTTTTAGTGACGTTTGAAACACATTATTAAAGAGATGTAGAAGTTGTGGCAATGATGAACAATAAATGAAATGTTAATCGAGATAAAGAACCAAAGAAATAACTTTAACCGACAAATAACTTCAAAATATAAACCAATGTTAACGATCGAGCAAGACCGAGTCACATACCTTTCCTAGCAGTGGTAAAGAACCTTGGCCTAGGCACTTTGAAATCTGTCATGTTATCCGTGTGTGTTGCAATATGCAACCCGTGGAATCGTATTGATGTCATTTGTGAAAAATCAGTTTGAATCGAATAAATTTTTGGTGATTTTGAGATGTTGCCCAAACAGGCAGGTTTGAGAACGCCTAAAGGGTAGGCAAAAAAAAAGAACTTCTACCAAAATAAGTTATTTTCGTGTGGTTCTAAAGACGCTGGTTTTTTAACACTTTTGCTGTACACTCGTTTATGTCCTGTGACAGGTAATGTCTTTTGTGACTAAGACACAACATTAATGTCATATTATTAAACCGCAGACACTTTTTGGGGTTTCTTGCAGGGAATAATTGATGGATAAAACTTGAAGCAATAGGATAATGGTTTTTCCTAATTTACGTCGTATATTTTCATCCTTCCGAACGCCGGAAGAAGAACGTCAAATATCTCGTGAAGCATTTTTTAAATTTGTTGGATTTGTGGTGTCGTGTATTGCCATCACTATGTTGTCGAATAAAAATAGAATGCGGGCGATTGGGCAAGGTGGAGGAGGTTAGTGGAGGAGGAAGAGATTCAAAGGTATCTGATGGGATACTTTAATGAACATTTTGTTCTATTGTTTAACACACAAATAAATGTACAGGTTATTCTTGATTCATCTGAGCAGCACCACAATTTTAATTAATACTATCTGCTTGCAATTATCAGAAAATAATTATGTATGGACAAGCACAACATGGCATTCATATTATTCGCGACATCTGAAGCAATGATGTCGGCTTTAATTTTAAAGAAATCACAAGCTTTATACAAATTACATTTTCCGCCTCTTTTTGCGTTAGCATTTCACACAATAATACGTGATACGTGAGTTCTGTCCTTGATTAACCTTGACTAAATCCGTTGCGTTTCTTTACATCAATTACAGCTGTCTTTACCTATTCACTCGCTGAACTATCAGAATCATTATTATCATCGTCTTCTTCATATTCATTATTATCACTACTTTCATAATTATCATTATTCTCATCGCTCTCATAATTATCATTATTCTCATCGCTCACATCACCATGTTCACCCTCATCATCCCCGCCCTCACCCTCATCATCATCGTCGTCATTCTCTATCACTCGTTTTCTCTTCAATGATCTTCCCACTTTCACAACCTCATCAGTGTCCTTATCTCCATTGCTTCCCTGTTTTTCAGGATTATTAAACAACCCTCTCGAAGCGCGTGTTCGCCTTCCCTGTTTCTCATCGTCATGAATAATATTCGTCACATCCATCGAGTTTAGCTCCGCTTGGAGTTCACGCGTTCTCCGCACCTGGAGACACTTTTCGACAGTGGGGCGACCATGTACACCAAGTTCGTTTAATATAGATTTGAGGTGGGAGACTTGTTGTTTCTTTGATAAATTTTTGAGTTCGCGAGACCTTGAGAAAACGAAAATTGTCCCAATGTCAAGATCGCACAGCAAAGTAACAATGAAATGAATCGATGCTATATGTTAATATCAGGGCTTACCATACTTTGCGTACGCCACATTTCAAAACATAACTCTTTAAATTTTTAATCGTCGTATCATCTTTGTCATCCTGTTTATCGAAAGTGTTGGAAAACCCCGCATAATAAAAAAAAAAAGATCCAACAATTCAATTCACAATTTTTAATAATAACCAACATCCTTTACCCTCGTTTACTTCAGCCATTCCTCTCTTCAATTCCCACCAACATACCTCATGTGCAACTTTTTCTTTACCACTTTGTGTATTTTTCCTCCGCTTACGAGGTGCTGGTTTGTCGTCTATCACACTCGAAAGATCTGACTCCGAAAGGCCGTTATCTGAATGATTAGATTCGACTGAATGTGCCGCGATGGAAAGACGCTTTGGTTTTGTTGGTGTGGGCTACATCATGCATATAGATATTAAGAAGCAGGGGGAGAGGCAAAGAACGTGCTTAGTATGTGAAAACAACAGGAAGAGAATTCATTATAGTTGACCGTCGATTAATTAATTAAGGCATATTTATGTTAATCAATTACAGATAATCTCTCTTCTGCATCAAAATCCTGATCTTCCCCTAATGAATCATCATTGTCCTCATCGTCACTACTCTTGTTCTTTTTCTTCTTTCGTGACAGCCTCTTTTTCTTTTTACCGTTCCTACTCTTTCCCCATCCGGGTGGTGTATCCATTATCACTGATGATAAATCGTCGTCGTCTAACAAATTCATAGCCATATCTTTGTGTTGTTTTGTCTGGGTCTATCGAGGACGAGTACAAGTTTGGTTTTCGCGCAGGTCACGAATTACACCCCCAAATGGTTGGTAAGTGTAACGTCAGATATCTCCCAATGGTTAAATTCCCCTTGCTCATTATTATTATTATTTGTTTGGAACCGTTGAGATAAGTAGACCGCCTTTGCAGCACACAAACTGTATCACCGATAAAAGAACGTCGTAAACTTCTATTCAAATCAACAATTTATAATACTAATTTATACGCCATGTCCAAAAGCTATAGTGAACAAAGGAGCACTGCTTCTTTAATCATCATCCAACAAGCGTAATAGCGTAACGATCAAAGTTCCACCGCACATTTATCATATGTGTGTGTATCTTTTCCTTATCTTATATGCAACAAAGAAAACATTGACCACAACTTGTTTCGAAATAAAGAACAATGTATATTTGCACCTTCTCGAGGGTACAACTACAATTAAAAAAGCTCAAGACGTGAATATTTTCAAAGTGCAAAACGTTATGTCTCATGACAATGATAAGTTTGACATCATTACAGCGATTAACTTGGTTGTATTTGCATGTTGTATTCTTTCTGCTCCATAAGAAACCTGCTGGGCGGCATTTCAATCAGGTTGGAGATCTTGCATATGCCACCATTAATTGTACCAAAAGCCTTAAACGTTTAAATTTGTTCCATATTGGCGGAAAAGGCTCAAATAAAGTGTTCTAATGGGACGCACCAATCATTTTCCAGGTATATTTGAAATTCCATAACATCTAACAGTGCGTGTCACCTAATATCTAATGTAACACTCTTTACACCCCTTCCCCCTCCCAACGCACATATACGTAACGGCCATCCTATCATGCAACTCTTTTCTCCTTCTCGGGTTAGATGCGACGTCCTATTCTCGTTTTTATGGTTTGAAGACCATTTGCAACTGATTTCTCCTAGTTGTTTTTAGCGGTATTTGTTCTTATACGCTTCGAAAGACGACGGGATGGAGATGAAGAAACCTGAATCTTGTCTTCGGCAGCATCAGAACGTGAATTGGAGGCAGGTTGAGCATCCCTTTGTGTTTGTCGTCTCTTGAGATTGCGTGAGCCTTTGGCGTTCTCTTCTTCGTTGTGCTCTGTATCATTCTTTAGTCATTTATGATATCATCATATTATCATTCACATTCTTATCGATCGAGATCATACGGCATTCGTTTCACAGCATGGTTTACCTCATCAGTCTCTATTCCCATCCTCTTTTCATTTTCATTTTCATTTTCATTCTCATTTTCATTTCCAATTCCGTTTTCTTTTCTGCTTCCCACTTCCGCTTTATCAGAAATAACATTTTTGGTTTGTTTAGCCTTTCCTTCACACTCGGTTCTTGTTTCTCGTGTTTCATCTACGGATGTTTTCTCAATGGATGAGGATGATGTAGGATTCTGTGGCGGAGAGGAGGGGTATTGCTGCATGTTTAAAAATTGTTAGGGAAGTCACAGAGGAAGAAGGAAGAAGGATTAGAATCGGTGTACTCATTCCACCATTGTCGAACATAGCCTAGTTTCCAATGAAATCTGCAAGCAAATCTACAAGCGCATACCAATTCTTCTTCGATAACTTTCAGCACTAATTCCTTCCATGGCTCCCTGTCTAGCATCATATAGGGCCAGTTGAGCCGTTGTTCCAGTTCGCGTCTTATTTTCTTTTGAGATATGATACTATGGAAGAGAAGCATATCAGTATTAATATGTCTAATTTATAGTATATCATTCTTTCAAAATGTTTATGCTGCGCTCTATTACACTTACGTCAAGTCAGACTCTCGTATCAAGGTTTTGCATAAAGCTATCAAAGTCTCTTCGTTTGCTATCATTTCTCACTCAGTGCTGTATAGTATTGTACTTTATCACGTAATAGTAGTAACGAGTTATCTGTTGCGGGCAGTTGATACGATAAGCCTTGGCATTTGTTGAGAGAGGGGAAAATACGGATGGAATCCAGGATTGCTGAAAGAAAAAGATAATGCAGAACTTACAATGGAAACAGGGTCATTGTGTGATTTGCGTGTACTTGAATGGTTCGTGTTTAATCCAAGGGAAATTTTAAATACGTCCATTTATCGACCAATCAATAATAAGCAAATAAAAATAAGTACAACAAAGGGAATGTTCATGCCCATGAACTAATTTCAGGGGCTTAATTGTCAGCCACAACAGCAATTGCAACGTGATCGATTAGTACGAGCAAGACGTATAAAACATAAAAAACATTTCAGCTAAGATGGTACGAAGCTAGGCATCCAAACGTACGTGTAACCCAATGTATAAAAATTGATGTAGTCGACAAGAGTTGTTATTATTAAAATAGCTCAGCTTATCGTTAGTTTTTGTCATCCAATTGAGAGATCAGTCACAATATCTAGGGGTTTGATCTTCTCTTCAGATGGGAAAACGTTTACGAATAATACCAAGGAACACGCTTGCCCATATATCATTAGCTCAAAACCGATTATCTTAATGTTAAGTGTTCTGGAAGTACACTCACTGGCCAAAAGTACTTGCCGAAATCTGCTGATCAATAGTAAAACATATGAAAAATCTAATTTTTTTGAA